TTCTACAAGTTATGCTTCACGTTGATTGGCCGACTTCCATTGTGAGCTCAGACATTGATTGGCTCGTAAATCGTGACGGTGATTGGCCGAGGTCCATTGTGAGCTCGGATGTTGATAGGCTCAAGCATAGTGACGGTGATTGGCCTGTATCCATTGTAAGCTCGGACGTTGATTGGTTCCGTATATCGTGGCGGTGATTGGCGGAGCTCCATTGTGAGCTCGGCCGCCGATAGGCTCGGTCCATTGTGAGCTGATGCGCCATTGGTCCGCTGATGCGCTATTAGCTTTCTAATAGTGTATATGAGAGCTTTCTAATAGTGTATATGAGAGCATTCTAATAGTGTATATGAGAGCGTTCTAATAGTGTATATGAGAGCGTTCTAATAGTGTATATGAGAGCTTTCTAGTAGTGTATATGAGAGCTTTCTAATTGTGTATATGAGAGCTTTCTAATAGTGTATATGAAAGCTTTCTAGTAGTGTATATGAGAGCTTTCTAATTGTGTATATGAGAGCTTTCTAATAGTGTATATGAAAGCTTTCTAGTAGTGTGTATGAAAGGTAAAGCTTTTCAACAGTTTATATGAACAGTTCTCACTACTTTGTATGAGAGCTTTTGAGTAGATTATATAAGAGGTAAATGTTTTCACTAGTTTATGTGAGAGCTTTTTACTAGTGTTTGTGTGAGGTTTTCAGTATATTATATGGAAGAGTGGAATTTAATATGTGTATATGCAAGTTAATTCTGATTTATCGTATTGCCTTAGACAACGCAGCTCCTTTGAAAATGAAAACCGTTAAAAATAGAAAGCTTGCTCCTTGGTTTAATGCAGAGCTGCGTACTTTGAAGCAAAATGCTAGGAAACTGGAGAGAAAATATCGCTCCACAGGCCTGCGAGAGTCCTTCCTAGTCTGGAAAAATGGTTTACTGCTGTATAAGAGGACCCTTTGTAAAGCAAGAGCAGCATACTTCTCCTCATTAATAGAGGAGAATAAGAATAATCCTAGATTTCTTTTTAATACAGTTGCCAAACTCACCCAGAGCCATAGCTCTGTTGAACCGTCCATTCCACCTGCTCTTAGCAGCAATGATTTTATGGGATTCTTTATAAATAAGATTGATCTTATTAAAAATAAGATCATAAGCACTCCTCTATCCGCGATTGTACCTGAGGTAGTCATGGAATCTGAACCGGGTTTAGACTGCTTTGATCCAGTTGAACTCTCTGAATTAGCAAAATTATTGTCTTCATCTAAGCCTTCAACTTGTATGTTAGATCCAGTTCCAACCAGGTTATTTAAGGAGGTATTCCCTTTGATCTCCTCCTCCATTTTAGATGTGATTAATCTATCTCTGTTACAGGGATATGTACCTAAAGCTTTTAAGATTGCTGTAATTAAACCTCTGCTTAAGAAACCGTCTCTTGACCCAGATGACTTGGTCAATTATAGACCTATATCCAATCTTCCTTTCTTATCCAAAATTCTTGAGAGAGTAGTTGCCAAACAAGTTTGCGATCACTTCCACCATAATGAACTTTTTGAAGAGTTTCAGTCTGGCTTTAGAGCTCATCATAGCACTGAAACAGCTCTGGTGAAAGTCACTAATGATATTCTCATGGCCTCAGATAATGGACTTGTATCTGTGCTCGTCCTGTTGGATCTTAGTGCTGCATTTGATACAGTTGACCATAATATTCTTTTAGAAAGACTTGAATATTTTGTTGGAATTAAAGGAACAGCACTAGACTGGTTTAAATCTTATCTATCTGATCGAATTCAGTTTGTTCATGTTAATGATAGATCTTCAACACGCTCAAAGGTTACCTGTGGAGTACCACAGGGATCAGTGCTAGGACCAATTCTCTTTACTTTATACATGCTCCCAATTGGTAGAATTATTAGACAGCATGGGATTAATTTCCACTGTTATGCTGATGATACCCAGCTATATCTGTCTATAAATCCAGATAAAGCTAACCCATTACATAGATTACAGGCATGTCTTGAAGACATAAAAACCTGGATGACTCTTAATTTTCTGCTTCTGAATGCAGACAAAACAGAAGTTATAGTCTTTGGACCAGAGTCTCTGAAAAAGAAACTGATTAGCCAGTCACTTCATTTGGATGGGATTAAACTGATTTCAGATAATAAAGTAAAAAATCTTGGTGTTATTTTTGATCAGGACCTGTCATTTAAATCCCATATCAAAGAGGTTTCTAGAATTTCCTTCTTTCATCTGAGGAACATTGCAAAAATTAGAAATATCCTGTCCAGGGGTGATGCTGAGAAACTAGTCCATGCATTTGTTACTTCAAGGCTGGACTATTGTAATTCTTTACTATCAGGAAGTCCACAAACTGTAGTTAAAAGCCTTCAGCTGATCCAAAATGCTGCAGCCAGAGTTCTAATGAAAATGAAAAAGAGAGATCATATCTCTCCTATCCTGGCTTCTCTTCATTGGCTTCCTGTTAAATCAAGAATAGAATTTAAAATCCTCCTTCTCACATATAAAGCCTTAAATGGCAAAGCTCCATCTTATATCAGAGATCTGATTGTTCCTTATGTTCCTAACAGAGCACTTCGCTCTCAATCTGCAGGTTTACTAGTGGTTCCTAGAATTTCTAAAAGTAGAATGGGAGGCAGATCTTTTAGTTATCAGGCTCCTCTCCTGTGGAACCAACTACCAGTTTTAGTCCGTGAGGCAGGCACCCTGTCTACTTTTAAGGCTAGGCTTAAAACTTTCATTTTTGATAAAGCTTATAGTTAGGGTGGCTCAGGTTATCCTGAGCTATCTCTATAGTTATGCTGCTATAGGCTTAGACTTTTGGAGGACATAGGGACCCCCATTTCATCATTCTGCTTCATTCTCTCTATGTTCTCCTATTCTGCAGAATCTGTTAGTTCAATCTCTAACCTTCTGCTCTCTCTGCTTTTCCTCAGAGTAGCTTTGCCTCGTCTGTTCCTGTTTGGCTGTGACGTCATCCTGGAAAAAAACATCAGCTGTGCTGCTTCTATCAACACCCTTGTTTATAGATGTTGGAGATCGGCCTGTTTTCCAGTGTGGTCCTGTTTCTCTGACCGTGACTGAGTGGATGTGCTCTCTTCGTCCTCTGGCATGGGAGCTGCCTTGGAGCTCGTCTGCCTGGCTGTGTGTTTCCTGGACGGGGCCGCCTTTTACAGCTGCTTTTTGTATCTCTGCTTCTGTCTCCTTGAACCCCAGTCGGCCTCGGCAGATGGCCGCTCACACTGAGCCTGGTTCTGCTGGAGGTTTCTTCCTGTTAAAAGGGAGTTTTTCCTCTCCACTGTCGCTACAAGCATGCTTAGTGTGAGGGATTGTATTTGAGTCAATGAGTCGATGCAATCAACTGGTTTTCCTTAGATAGAAAACTTTGTATCAATTTGACTGTATGATCTGGTTGAACTGTAAAGTGCCTTGAGATGACATGTGTTGTGAATTTGGCGCTATATAAATAAACTGAATTGAATTGAAATTTATGTCCCTGGGGGCACCTCATATTCAGGGCTCATTTTGTTAAAAGAGAACAGCAGCATTTCTTGCTACATTAATACAAATCTTATAAGCACTACATGCACTAAATGCTGTTTATCAATATTTAAAGCATCACTGGCTCTGATGAATGTGGAATTAGGACTTTTTCCACTTTGAAAAGGATTGCATTTAAATTTACCTGCGACTGAGACAGTGTCTGTTTAACCAAATATAGTCTATAATATGTGGATTTATCCTGTGTTTTCTTCTGAAGATAGAGAATTGTGCAGAGGTAAAACCCACTCTTATTTTTTTTTATCTAATATGCTCTCTCTGGATCATGCAAAATAATACATTCAAGGGACGGTAAATACATGTATTATAATTACATGTGCACTGGAACTAGAAGAGGAACTGATACTGAGCATTTAAAATATTAATATTAGAAGTTGTACATCTGGGCTGTTGTTACTCTGTGTAGCGAATTTCATGTATTTTATCTATGGCTGAAACAATTAATCATATTAACAAATTATTTAAATAATCGTGAACTAATTTAGTAATTGATTAATCGTAAACTGGAGTATAGGGCCACTAAAATGTGCCTTTAGCCGACAGAGCGACCCACTTAGAGCAGGAATTATACCAAGATTGTAAAAAATATGTAAACATTTTGCATTTAAGAAGTAAAAAAAAAATAGTTTTTGTCTGTCAATATTCTCCATCCAGAACTCCATCCATCCTTTTTCTTTACACGCTTGTCCCAAGTCGGGTCGCGAGGGGTGCTGGTGCCTATCTCCAGCAGTCAATGGGCGAGAGGCGGGGTCCTTCCAGAACTCCTCCAAAGGAAACATTTAAACGTTTCTGTTTCACCTGGTTTCATTTCATAAAAGATCTTCTTTAAGGAGCCTTTGGCTATCTGATTAAAAGATAAAATAAAAGAAATCCTAATGTTGTTAACTTACATTTCTCAAGTTCCACAAATAAAAAAACTCTCTCCTGCTTCTTTACAGAAGAAGCAGGAAGAAGCAGAAGCTTTCGCCTGTTTTAGCGTAGATAATAAGTTTTTAATTTGGACTAGTTTCGTAGCCCAATATTAATTTATTTTAGCGTCTTTTTTTTTTGCGCTCCAAGCACCCGCGCCACGCGGGCCAACCAAGGACCAGCCAAGTTGGCTGGTCCTTGGTTGGCCCTTGGCTGGTCCTTGGCTGGTCCTTGGTTGGCCCTTGGCTGGTCCTTGACTTGTCCTTGGTTGGTCCTTGGTTGGTCCTTGGCTGGCCCTTGGTTGGTCCTTGGCTGGTCCTTGGCTGGTCCTTGGTTGGTCCTTGGTTGTTCCTTGGCTGGTCCTTGGTTGGTCCTTGGCTGGTCCTTGGTTGGCCCTTGGCTGGTCCTTGGTTGGTCCTTGGTTGGTCCTTGGCTGGTCCTTGGTTGGTCCTTGGTTGGCCCTTGGCTGGTCCTTGGTTGGTCCTTGGCTGGTCCTTGGTTGGTCCTTGGCTGGTCCTTGGCTGGTCCTTGGTTGGTCCTTGGTTGGTCCTTGGCTGGTCCTTGGTTGGTCCTTGGCTGGTCCTTGGCTGGTCCTTGGTTGGTCCTTGGTTGGTCCTTGGCTGGTCCTTGGCTGGTCCATATCTGGTGCAAACCACGCTTTCTATATTTCCTGTTGATTGTATTAAAGTTTGAGGCTGTAACATGAATAAGTCCAGTAGATCTCTGTCTTCCGGTGCGCGGCTGGGTTGGCTTCGCTGCTCTGGCTCTCTGGCGCTCGCCGGGCGGGGCTGCTCTGTCCCTTGTTTTGCCTTGCGGCTGTGTTTGCTGTGGTCGGCGGGATGGAGTGGTTTCGTTGTGTTTTTGGCTGGGGGAATCCGCCTGGGGGCTTGGTTGGTGTTGTTGGTTCGTCCGTATCGGCCTTCCGGTGTTGTTTCTGTCGGGGCCGCTCGGGCCCCGGCGTGCGGGCGGTGCGCTGTCGGTGGGGTTCCCGTTCGGCGGGCTTGTTTGCCTCCTGGGCGGGCAGCAGGGGCGTTGCTAGGCACAAAGCTTTACTGGGGCACTGGCCCCCTAGTGCATATGCCCCTCCTTCCATACATAAATACAGACAAGCACACTGCCCAACCCTGATACATTCCTACCAAAATTACCAGTTGAGATATTAATGAGTATAAGAGCATATTTGTTTTAACAAACATGAACATTTTCAACATTGCAGCTATAAAAAATAAGACATCAACAACTTTAAAAATAAAAAGTTTCCTTATACACATTCTGAAGTAATCATTAATTCCTAGGTTTCCGAGTTTTAGTTCAGGGGAAAGTTTAACTCAACCCGAACTAAGTTTTCCTTTTATTTTTTGAGCATTAAAGTGTACCTCCTATTTTTCATTTTTGCAAAGTGGTCAATCACTTGTGACTCAGCTTAGAAAGTTCTTCCTTTTCAACTGATAAAATAGCAAGATGATGGAGCCTATCTTGTCCCATTGTGCACCTCGGCCAAGTGTGGAGCCTTCTCAACACACTGAATGACCTTTCACAACTCCATCTGTAGACTGGGATTGTGAGGGAGATCTGGATGACCTGCTTTAGTGTTGGGAATATGATGTTATCAAGCAAGTTGAAAACACACTGCATATCCTTGATAACAAGGCTTTCTTTTTTAACCAGGAAAAGCTCAAACCATTTTGAATTAAATGAACGTTTTTTTACTCCAAATTTGCCCCAGGGGATAGTGGGACAACTTCACTTGTTTAGGACCATCATGCTTTCCCCCTAAGTCCCTAATGTCCCCTTCTTGTTTGTGGAAGCTGGTTGTTGCATCCTCATCACCTTCATGGTCCTGTCTCTCCTGTCTTTCACCTGTCTCTTGCCAGTCAGTCTCGCCTCCTCCTCCCTTTCCTACTCCAGCACCTGCATTCTCATTCTCTACAGCAAACATAAAAAAAAACGCAAATTTATAATTATGTAAATATCTATCATATTACTTATAACGTTCCTAATGTAACTGGTTACATTAAATCACTAATTCATTACGGGACCTTACCTCCCTCTCTCTCATCTTGTTTTACTCCTTCCCTGTCTCTGCTTCGTGTGAGGAATTTCCTGCTATCCATCTACAAACCAATGCAGTAATTTTCAGTTAGTAGCCTATAAATCATGTGGTTTCACTGGGAAAATAATAAAATTGACAGGTAAGAAACATTACCAGAACTAAAAATGCGTCGTGGCTGCACAGTGTCCCATCCAACTCAGTTGAGAGCGGCGTGTTAGTTTACCTGCAGTTCATGCAGTGACATGCGGTGACGTGGGGGCGCTAATACATCCTCAATTTGGAGTTACCAACACACTTGCTGCGCATTTGAGTAGAAATATACGTCTCCTTCCGTTGGAAATATCTAAATTGATGCATTAAAAAAATGTAATACTGTTGCAAATATTCATGAGATTTATACTGGGGCACAGCTCATTTATACTGGGGCACGTGCCCCAGTAAATGGGGTCTGGCGACGCCGATGGCGGGCAGGCATGTTGATTTTTCTGGGGAGGAGCGTCTGTGTGGAGGGGTCCTCGCGGTGTGGCGGTGGGTGTTGGACGCTGGCTTGTCTTTGGCCATTCTTCTTAAATGAGGGGGAATTTTTTTTTGTGTGTGTGTTGGAGGGGGGGTGTGAGCGGGGGAATCGGAGCTTGGAATGGAACTTGGGATTTGTGCTTTGCTGTGTTGTGTGGCTTTCTTATTTAGATTGGTGTTGTAGGACCGCGTCGGGGGGGTTGTTTGGGGGCCAGTGTTGGGGTGGGGGTGTTGGTGCCGGCGCTGTGGGTTTTTGGACATTGCCCGGCCCCACTGCTGGGTGGGTCCGGGGGTCTGGGATCCCTGGGGCGTGTTGCCCTCGGGCGGGGGCCCCGGTGGGGTTTCGGGGGCTCGGGTTCTGTGGGGGGTGCTGCTTGGGGTCTGGGCCGGTATGCGCCCGGCTGTCTACCCCTGCTGCCGTGGCCTCTGGTGTGCCGGGGTGCCTCGGGGCCTGTTGGGCTGGGGGGGCATGGACAATAACTGCTATGGCAGATGCTTACCCCTGCAGGGGTTTGCACTCTGTAAGTGGGGGAAGGGGAGGGAGGGGGAGTAGGAAGTAGGAGGGGTGGGGGGTGGTGATAGAGGGAGAGGATTTCAGAAGGGCTTCGGGTCTGGCTCCCTGTCTTGGTCCTGGGCCATGCTGTCCCCTGGTGGGGCGTCGACCGGGATGGGGGCTCTGCGTGTTGCGCGTGGGCTGGCTGGCCGGGGTTGTCCGCCCCCCCTTATTTATTTATTTATTTATTTTTTATTATTATCAGCATTCCTTTTTTATTTTTTTTTTCTATTTATTTATTCATTAATTTACTGTTTTTTTTGTTGTTGTTTTTTTTGGATGGACTGGTTGTGGAACGCTGGACCAGCTCTACACCCTCAGCAGGGTCCTGGAGGGTGCATGGGAGTTCGCCCAACCAGTCTACATGTGCTTTGTGGACTTGGAGAAGGCGTTCGACCGTGTCCCTCGGGGGGCCCTGTGGGGGGTTCTCCGGGAGTACGGGGTGCCAGGCCCTTTGATACGGGCTGTCAGGTCCCTGTATGACCAGTGTCAGAGTCTGGTCCGCATTGCCGGCAGTAAGTCGGGCTCGTTTCCGGTGAGAGTTGGACTCCGCCAGGGCTGCCCTTTGTCACCGATTCTGTTCATTACCTTCATGGACAGAATTTCTAGGCGCAGCCAAGGTGTTGAGGGGATCCGTTTTGGTGGCCTTAGGATTGCGTCTCTGCTTTTTGCAGATGATGTGGTCCTATTGGCTTCATCAGGTCGTGATCTGCAGCTCTCGCTGGATCGGTTCGCAGCCGAGTGTGAAGCGGCCGGGATGGGGATCAGTGCCTCCAAATCCGAGGCCATGGTCTTGAGCCGGAAAAGGGTAGAGTGCCTTCTCCGGGTCAGGGGGGGTGTCCTGCCCCAAGTGGAGGAGTTTAAGTATCTTGGGATCTTGTTCACGAATGAGGGAAGAAGGGAGCGGGAGATCGACAGGCGGATTGGTGCAGCGTCTGCCGTGAAGCGGGCGCTGTACCGGTCCGTCGTGGTGAAGAGAGAGCTGAGTTAAAAAGCGAAGCTCTCGATTTACCGGTCGATCTACGTTCCTACCCTCATCTATGGTCATGAACTCTGGGTCATGACCGAAAGAACAAGATCGTGGATACAAGCGGCCGAAATGGGTTTCCTCCGTAGGGTGGCTGGGCTCTCCCTTAGAGATAGGGTGAGAAGCTCGGTCATCCGGGAGGGACTCGGAGTAGAGCCGCTGCTTCTCCACGTCGAGAGGAGCCAGTTGAGGTGGCTTGGGCATCTGTTTAGGATGCCTCCTGGACGCCTCCCTGGTGAGGTGTTCTGGGCACGTCCCAGCGGGGGAGACCCCGGGGAAGACCCAGGACACGCTGGAGAGACTATGTTTCTCGGCTGGCCTGGGAACGCCTTGGGGTTCCTCCTGAAGAGCTGGAAGAAGTGGCTGGGGAGAGGGAAGTCTGGGCCTCCCTTCTCAAGCTGCTGCCCCGCGACCCGACCCCGGATAAGCGGAGGAAGATGGATGGATGGATGGATGGATGGAGGATGGGGGAGGGTGGTGGTGTCGGACCTGTGCCCAGCTGGCTGGTTGGTCCTGCTGCCAGTCCCTGGCCCTCGGGCTATGGTGGTGAGACTGGTGGGGCCCCCCTCTCCGGAGTGGCTCTCAGGGAACGGGGGTGTCTATTGGAGTCAGCGGGGGAGCTGGCTCCCTGGGAGTGCAGCTAGCACCCCAGTCCTTTGCTCCCCATCCCTGAAATCCTCCCTCTGCCTGCTCCTTCACACTGCCACACATGTAGTTTTTTAGGGAGGGGGTAGTTACTGGAGAGCCCCACCTTCTGACGATGTCCCCCACCCCAATTTTATTTTGCATTTTAGACACTTCCATCTACATCATTTTCACAACACACATCTATGTAGGGTATTTTCTGGGGGGTGGGGGTCAAGGCCACCTGGGGAGGGCTTATTTTATGGGCCTCATCACGGTCGGCCTCCTCCATTGGCCTGGGGGGTGTTTTGGGGGGGTTCCATGGGTGTTTCGCGGCGGATGCGCGTGGGCCCCGGCGGTGGGCGCGGCCGCCTGTGTGTTTTTCGGGGGTGGTGCGGTCACGTTGGGTGTTGCGGCCGGTCGCCGGGGCTTGGTGCCGGGGGCGGTGCCGTTTCGGTCGGTGCCGTGGGGGGGGCAGTGTTCTTTGCCCGGCCCTACTTAAGGGTGGCCGGCTGCCGCCGGAGCCTGCGGACTCGCCTCCGCGGCTCCCCGGGGCGCCGGCATGGCGGTGGCTGGGGGGCCTCTTGGGGGCTGTCTCTCCTCCTCCCTTGGTGGGGGTCCGATTTCCGGGGCTGGCCCCTCCTTGGTGCCTTCGCTCTTGGGGTCCCTTTGGGCGCCTGGGGCTTTGGGTCTCCTAGCGCTGGACTCAGTGCTCTGGGGGGGGCGCCTCTTCGGCTCTCCACAACCACTATTGAGCATTTTTCTGTGGATAAACTTTAAATGCACAAGTTCACCCTCACAAACAATTACAGGTGCTAGGCTTCAGCAGAGGCGCACCTTGTCAACAGGCAAACCAAGCAACTGCTTGGAGCCCCGAGCCGCTGGGGGGCCCCTGAGAGACAGCTACTGTACACCCGGTAGATAAACAGCAACAGGCGAGCATGAAGTGGCAACGCTATAGTGACTGAAGAGATGCACAACTGCATATAAAAATTCCGATTGGATTGAATGTTGATTGACATTGGCTTTGCCCAGTCAAAATCCAGCCCAGCCCAGCCCAGGTGGATAACTTCCCTTAATGAAAATGAACGGAGCCTAGCGAATGGGTGACGTTGTAGGCCTATCGTTCAGTAAATTGGAAAGCAATTAAGTAACTAAGCTGAAGGAAAATGAAGAGCAGCTATCCATCTGGTAGCAAGAAGAAGAAGAAGAAAAAAGAAGAAGCAAAAAGAAAGAAAGACAATGGTAAGTGGAGTAGATAATGATTTAAGCATAACATTAACAGTAAATGACTGCTGTCATTGAAATTATGCTACTTTGTCTTCTAACGGGGAGACAGCAGCTATAGCGTTAAGTGAATGCTATGATAGCAATGAATAATGAAAGCTATGCCCAAGGAGAACAATTAAACATTTTTAACAAAATCTTTCATATTTCTCTTAAGGATCATTGCTTAAATTTATAACTAAACAGACAGATAAAGTGCCCCTACCAAATGCTGATGATGAAAACCATAAGTCCAGTGTTCCACTTGAATTGTTAACTGTAACTGTTTAATTGCTAATTCAAAAGATTATTTATGGCACAATCTTTTTTGTCATATTATAGTTCCAGCAAAACCCACCTCCAGTGGGATAGCGGCCACTCAACCTATTGGTTGTCATGAAGAGCAGGAAGAGACACAAGAGGCACATTGAGCACCCATTCCAAGTTATGATACTGATGACTGTAAGTTCAATACATTTTACCTCAATCGATAACATGTGACATGCTCTGAAAAGATTATTTAGGATAATATACTCTGTTAGCATGGTAGCATATGAAGTCGGGCGCGCAGCAACAAATTTGAGCGCAAAGTGAGCTTTTAAACATCACGAGCAGCCGGAACTCTGCAGAGCGCGCGTTTATCATGATAAGAGTTTATCACAGAGCTTTCCATGTATATCCATGTATATACAGTATTATTCATTATTCAGAGCTTATTATAACACTTCAGTTTGTTGATCGGTGTAATTACTGATTAATAAAAAAATTATTTTGAACTATTTGATTTAACAGTAGATGTTACACAATGTCCCTTTAAATGTTCAAGTTAAGCAGAAAGTAGTCAAACAAACAGAGGTATTCTTGTGTTCATTCTTCCATGATAAATAAGTCACTTTGATTCATGCAGCTCTTTTATTTCTTTCTCAAATAAAAGAATAAACATTATTTTCTGTTTTGCATTACATGCAGGAGGACAACCGGTGTGACTTCAACAAACATATCCTGAAGATTGTTGCTCTCCATGGTGCTGATGAGGATCCCGTTAATGTCTCCATCCTTGTTGAAGGCCAGGAGATTTTACCACCATGCCACAGTACTGCAAAAGCCTGCTCGCTGCTCATGGGACTGATATATCCGCTGAACTTGGCAGACCCTCTCCCTTTGCACTACACTTTTGAAGTGTTCCAAAAACTTTTCCTGGAGTTGGATGGATTCAAACTATCAGCAAAAGTAAACAACTTGAAGTTAAAGTTGATTTCATCTTAGAGGAGGCAAATGTGGCATCAAATGCCAAGAATTAGAAGTGGGTTCCAGTTAATGTTAGTGCAAGGTTGCATTTTCATTAATGTCTTATTTTTTTTCCAAATAAGGTATGTTATTTGGCAAAAAATAATATGTTCAAATATTTAGTGGAGATTTTTATGTTCATTGAGAATGGTTAGAATGATTTTGGTTCATTGTGGAAATTGCATTCTTCAAAATTCACTTGTCTGGACGAGTGGTTCAAATGTTGAAATTGCACTTTTTGTGTGCAGGTTTGTAAGATTTTTATTGCTGATTTGAGTGGCGACTATATTAACTGCTGCTTTCCCAACAGTTTCCAGTAACTATAAAAAGTAATTGAGTTCAGATGAGAAATAGCTGAAATATAAACGGGGAGGGGGGGCGATTAAAGACATATATATATAATATCAGAGTATTTGTCTTAAAGGAATAGTACACCCAAAACATGATTAGCCTTCATTTTCTACTCACCCCCATGCTGAACAACACTCTGGAGTACTTTTTTGATATCTCAAATGCATCTGGAGATCTGGGAGGCTTCTTGCTGTCTGCTGACATTCAAATAATGGAGGTCTATGGTGACCGAGACAGAAAGGTCTATAAAAGTCCACAAAAAACGTTTCAATATTCCTCCATACTGCTCTTCCAATGTATTCCAAGTGTCCTGAGTGGGTAGCATCCAGAATTTACTCGAAACGAAGTCATTTAGAATGTTTTTAGAGCATAAACAGTAGTGTATAGGATTTCCTGAAAGCGCGCACATGCGCGCTCACGACGCTACGGAAGCCGGCAGACCAAACCAGCATCTTCTTCAACCAATAATATTTCCAATTTGGGGGCAGCTAGAGGGCACACACATTTGTCAGCATTTTCTGTCAGCCAAGTTAAGCTAACGGCAATCTGCATTTTAGATTTGCTCTTGTTAAAAGTTATTCTGATCCTTAATGGAGATACAAAGACTTCCTGCACAAAGACAGGAAGAAGGATTTTTTTTGTAAATAATCAGCACCTCTTGTGAGTGTTATATATATTTTATTTTCA